CACACACACTCGTACAAAATCCATTGATTAGTTTTATTTTTAGTAATTTTATTAATTTTCTCCTGTGTTATTGTTATTTAAATTTTGTACCGCATGTTATGGAGCGGGCGTTAATAGCTGCGACACAGTCTCTTTGTGACTAATGCAGTTATTATCGAACCTACAAAAAACTGTAAATTAAGCTAAGGATCCCAAATAAACATTTTTATTTTTATTTTATTTTATTATATAGTCATTTTATTCGCTCGTAATTTTTTTTTTGCCTCAGCTGTGTTACTTGCTCGTTTTTCTCAGATGAAATTGCAATCCAAACTGTAAATATTTATTATTATTAATCATTATTCAATTATTATTAAACAGCCCCTTTTATGGATTCGTCCAGAAATCGCAAATATGGCTCGAACTATGATCATAAAATCGCATTTATTATACATACTTAACTTATTAACACTTAATACGGTTTAATGGTGAATAAAAAAAGCCAATAAACAAATACTGTCCACTATAAGAAGACACGCAATTTGTTATGGCTATACGCAACTCGCCACAAAAGTCCGTTTTATGTCTTCATTATGTTTTATATCTTTGAAGCTTATATATACATAGATATAGCTGAGTATGCGAAACATCCAGACTTGAAATCTGTGCTGTTTTCAAAACCTAATTATGTATACCGTACATAACTAACTTTTACCGGCGACCTCGTTCATGGAACCGTGATAAATTGATTATCCGAGATCTTCTTTTTTTTTACAACACAGGGGGCAAACAAGCATGCGCCTCACCTGGTGGTAAGTGACTACCGCCGCCCATGATCACCCACAACACTAACGGCATTGCAGGTGCGCTGCCGTCTGTCCGTCTCTGTCTATTTTTTCGCTAACTTCTTTTAAATCAAAGGTTTTGTTCATAGTTTTAAATCGTTCAATAATTTTGATACGGATTTTACTGTCGTTTTGAGATCTTGTCACAGAAGGTTTGTATGTACAATTTGCATCCATGCCTATATGATTCACTAGTTCATAATATACCATATATAGCAGAATTGTTGGAGGTTAGAATTTATACATTTTTCACTATTATTATAATATAAGCATTTTTCTTTGCCAATTATCTTATCGGGAGCTTATTAAAAGTACTCACAAATAAATAATATAAATATTTCTTTTATTTTTTATAACAGGAATCAATGATAAACCTTTGTCCTTATTCGTATTTAAACGTTCTTCGACAATAAATACCATTTTATTTTTTTCTTTTATTACAAATAGTTTTTAATAATGAAAAATACATTTACCAGAGGGAGACTTTGTACAAAAGTCGATTGCTTGGGTACCTCTGTCCCATTCGTGTTTCAACCGTAAAGCAATTGTATTTGCTTGGCTGTGTTTCGGTTTGAAGGGTGGGATATGGCGTGAATTTACTGGGTACGGAGGAACAACACCTGAGTCCTCAGGAATGGTAACGCATGGGGGTATCATGGGTGAAGCAGTATACTCTGTTATGTCCATGGTACTGCTCATGTCTGTAGGCGACGGTTACCACTTTCCATCAGGTGGGCCGTCAGCTTGTTTGCCATTCTAAGTTGAATAAAAAAAAATACATATACAGGCTATTATACTGTTATATACTTAATAAAAAAAATTGTAAAAATTATTACAGAAAGATTTTCAAATCAATTAATATATTTTTTATTTCTACTATTGTAGTATACTAACAGACTGTCTTACGATCGGGTCACATTACTTTATATTTCCATTAAGTCCGTACTATAATAAAAGAAATAAACGGCATTATAAATATTTTGGCAAGGAATCCGGAATAAATAAGCCTGAACGAGATAATAGCGTGTAGCCAGCACGGTAAGCAATTTATAATAGAAAATTAAGTTAAATATGACTATTACGGTGAAGTCCGCGGACGCAAGCGGCGCCGTCTAGTCTGAGGCGCGCCGGCCTTGCAGTCTCCGATACGTAAAATGACTACGCGCTTTATACACCATCCCATTTCTAAACTACCAGGAAGTGAGTCGAGGCCAAAGTTCGATTTATGTCTTTAAACTATTCAATAGCTTTTGTATGTATTATACTCGCATGTTCACTTTTTAATTGACTTCAAAAAAGTGATTAGCATTTCATGTGAGCTCTTAAAATTTTGGTCAAATTCGTGTGAACCAATTTTGATGAGTACTGAAAATGTTTACTCCTACGTCTATCCTATATTTTCTAACTATTATAATAAATGTAAAAGTGAGTTTGTTTGTTACCTTATAACGTCTTAACGGCTTAAGAAATTACTATGGAATTTAGTATATACGTACTACATGGGGTGGAGATGGATAAAGGCTACTTTTAACCTGGTCAGTAAAAAACTCTTGCTCATATAGACGAAGTCGCGGATAAAAGCTAGTTTATTTATATTTCCGATGGTCTTTTGTATGTAAATATCTTAATTATATATGTAATGTATAATTCTATCAAAAAACTTGGTTATTTATTAGATATATCATGCAGCTCTGCCCGTGTAACATTGAATACTAAATATTATACGTTTATTAGGTGTTATTCCTCTGTACCTTGTAAATTCACGCCATATCTCACCCTTCAAACCGAAACACAGCCATGCAAACATTGGGACAGAGGTACCCAAGCAATCGACTTTTGTACAAAGTCTCCCTCTGGTAAAATTATATATTATATATATTAAATGTATTATAATATTGCAGAATAAGGTTCAAATTTGTAAAATTTCATTAAAGGGTTTAAGAGTAATTAGCTAAAGAACATACAAAAATTTAAATATTTTTACAAAATTAACTCACGAGTATGAGTTAATTTTGTAGATTTTAATTTTTTTTTTATGGATGATAATGAAATGGTAACTCCACCCACGCTGTCGGTATACACTGGCGGGGCACCAGTGAGAGATGATAGGTGAGTATAAAGTCAGGTTAGTTGGCCCATCGCGACGAATTTGACAATAACTAATCTCGACGGTTTCCAGGGGGAACCACATGGAGGTCGACCTGACAGGGTATAATATTGCTAGCATTAGGGATTAACGCCCTCATTACTAACAATTTTTTTCCCCCCGTAGGTTCAAGTTAGGTATTAGTAGGTACTAACTAATACCAGCAATTGAGTACAAAAAAAAACAATCGTGCTGAAAACGTCCTTTCTTTTTGAAGTCGATTGAAAATTACGATAAACTATATATACAAATCTTGAAATATACAATTTACGAATAGATTAATGTTATATATAACGACGCAAAGTTTATTTAATTAATTAATAACAAGTCAGAATACATTTCAAAATATTCTTTATTCTTAAGCATTTCATACTTAATTCTTTCTTAATCTTGACAGTGAAGCAGACAGCGAAACTTCTAAAGTGCCCGTTTTGTTTATTGAATATATTTAAATCTGTTTTGTTCATCTCATTATTTAATTAGAGATTTTTGTAGATTGTCTACAAAAATCTCTAATCTAATCGCATCTTATTCTAAAACCATAACAATTTGTTTTATTTTTTTCTTTGTTTCAGCAAAGTTTTATTTATTTATTTATACTTTATTGTACACACTAGTAATACATAAATATGTGACAAAGGTAAGCATATATACAAAGGCAAGATTAACTCTAAAAGAGTTCTCTGCCAGCAAATCCAAAATGGAAAAGAGCATCGATGTTAGCGGGTAGAGTGGTGTACAGTATTGTGACAATTTTCAAACAAGACGATCTAGACAAACTTTATACATTAAACTGATTATATTATATTTAATCATATATATACAATACATATATATACACATATACATATATACAAAAAGAGGTTTCTTCAGGGTCGGCAACGCACGCGTAATACCTCTAGTATTGCAAGTGTTCATAGGCTACGGTAACCACTTACCATTAGATGGGCCGTATGCTTGTGGTATAAACTAAATGTACCTTAGTGGAATAATATATATATATATATATATATATATATATATATATATATATATATATATATATATATATATATATATATATATATATATATATATATACATATACACATTTATATTTATAGTATTATTTATTGTTTATACGTTTAAGCTAAAAAGATTATTTTAAAATTCCTGTCACTGATAGGTATTAGCAGCGAACTTTAAAAATAAGTGAGCACAAAAGATCACGGAAAGGTCGCAGTGTCACAGATTTTTCTACCTGAAAAAAGCCCGTCTTTCAATAATAATAATGTAGGTTTAAGCATGTAAGTTAAAATTTATTAAGATGTTTCGGTGTTCGTTTGTTTATATAATTGTTACTCCACCATATTTAAACGTTAAGCGTATAGGTCCTGGCAGAGACTAGGCTACCCCTTCCTTTCCCATGGGTGTCGTAAGAGGCGACTAAGGCAGCTTTATTGTCGAATGACAAGCAACAGCGTCTTTCTTTAAACAACATCAAAGGCTGACGGTTTTTTTTATGGGTAAAAATGGCATGGTTACCCCGCCTGCACTATCGGTATACATAGGCAAGGTCTGGTACCTTGCCTAGAGGGGTGATAGGTGAAGATGAAAAGGCAGGTCAGTGAGCCCGTTGTGACGAATTCAATGATAAATTAGTCACGATATTTACCAGGGGGAACCGCGTGGAGGTCGACCTGATAATGTATATTGATAGATTGATAAATAGGTATATAGATAGATTGATAGCAAGACTAAGTACCCTATTACTAACAATCCCTTCCCCTTGGTTATCTGCGGTTACCAACCCACTTGCTAAGCGTGGCAACTATTAACATTTAACTATTAACTCCCCTTATGGGGAAGGCTTATGTTCAGTGGTAGACGGTTGGTGGCAATTATTTTGGTGATGTTGATGACGTATTATTTTAATCATTATTATGTAATTGAAAATTTATAAGCTATCAATTTTCATGGCGTTTTTTTTAATTTCTGAGTGTACTTTTTGTGCTTTAATGATCTCATAATTGTTCTTTATTTGTCATCAGATCACCACCAGCCATCATGAGGAGCTGTTCCCGGAGCGTGGCAGTCTTGGCGGCGTTATGGTTGGTCGCCGGTGCTGCATCCACGCCAGTCAGGCGCTCCCCGGATCTAGAAGCTAGGCGAAGAAGCGCCATAGATCGCAGCATGATTAGGTAAGATCAACTGCTCAGCATTTACATTGGCAGATTCCTATTATGATTCATATAACGTTACCTTTATAACCCTTAAGGGTTACCTTACCTTGTGATTAATTATTTAGTCTTTAAATGTCCGTTGCTAAACATAAGCTTCCTCATAAGGGGAGTTTTGCCAGTAGTTGCCACGCTTGGCAGGCGGGTTGGCAACCGCAGTTAGGCTCTTACATATATTTTAAGAGGGACGCTGCTGCCCATCCCTAACTTGATTGATTGCTGACTAGAAATAAAACTTTTTACTTGCCCAGTCAGCACGGAAAATAGAATTTTTGTAACTAATATAACCTGTATACTAACTACATTAGCTTTCTATAGATAAAATAATTTTTAAATAGTTTTTGAGTTTTTCCATTACAAATAATTGAATCTTTTCCCCTTTATAATATTAATATAGAAAACAACTGCTTTTTAAAAATAAAAAAGTACCGTCAAATGTGATAATACACCAATAAACGACAAAACCTTTCGAAGACATTAGATTGAAAAATATTGTTTAAAAAAAGCCATTTTTTTAAGCGACTTCAAAAAGGAGGAGATTCTCAATTCGCTTCTATTTCATTTTGTTTATTGTCAAAAAACTCCGTCGGTTGTAAACCGATTTGAAAAATTTTTTTTATCTGAAAATATGAATGAATGAGTATACTTTATTTGCATTATACAATACAGGAAATAAGCAAGACAATTTACAAACACAACGATACAATTGTATAAGTACAGTAAAGCGGTCTTATTGCCGAGAGAGGTACTTACAAAGAGACATTTAGAAAAGAAATTTTATCAAAATTTTTGTTATGTCGAAATTGATGTCGGTTTTTTGTGGGATATAATCTTTAATTATTACCAATATACAATGGTCTGTCATGTCCATGGTACTGCTCATCTCTGTAGGCGACGGTTACCACTTTCCATCAGGTGGGTCGTTAGCTTATTTGTTATATTAAGTTGCATAAAAAAATATACTAGTAATAAATCAATAGGATAATCAGTGGCAAAAATAAATTATCCATAATGATGAATTGAGAAATACCAACTTTTGGAAGTCGCTTTAAAGGGGGGGGGATAATCATTTTTGAGTATATATAAGTCAATATGTATGTAAGTATCTCAATCTGTAACGTAATGAATAGACCAAAATGACTTATGGGTTTTAATGAATGGGGTCTCTTTAAACAATACCATGGGCTCCATGATGTCAGCATGAAATAATTATGGCGGAATTAGAGCGTGAAGAACTTGCGGAAATGATTCATTTTATATGTATATATATATATATATATATATATATATATATATATATATATTAATATTTATATATTATACATAAATATTCACCTGCTTTTACCTGCGACTTCGTATTAGTTAAGTCGTTAAGACGATAAGAAGTAACAAACGAACAAACTCACTTTATATTACTAATATTATTAATAAAGATACATATAAACAGACAAGGTCTTCGCTACTTTTTTACTTCTATTTTTAATATTTTATAGTCTACACATACTTTAAAAAGAAAAATCGTTAATTTCTGTAAACAAAATTATCAAAATATTTCTAATATATTATTACATTTTGTTATATCCAATTATCTAGTTCTCCATGTTATTTATAGATTATCACAAACAATTTACATATAAAAGAATTATTTACTATAATAACGTACTCATATTATTTTATATCAAGGGAAATTAATATATGTATAGCTAGTGGGCTATTTTATTAAAACTGATTGCCTATTATTTTATGTAAGAAAAATATTGTGTACCTAAATATATTATATTAATGTATTATGTATAATATTGAAATGTAAAAAAAAAAAACTCTTATAATATTTTGTAGCTACGTATTTTTTTATTTTATTAATGGTAACACAGAGATGACATGGAGTGACGACCCGAAATGCATTACAGGGAGTCAGTAGATGCAGGTGGCTCAGGACAGTTCTTTATGGCAGTCTATGGGGGCGGCTTATGTCCAGAAATAAACAGATAATGGCTGAAATAATGATGATGATGATGATGAAATGGTAACACAGTTTGGCATCATCAACATATCAGCTATTAACTGTCCACTGCTGAACGTAGACCTTTCCCTCCCAGTTTGGCATAATTCAACATAATAAGTCAGTAACATTCTATTAATGAGTGTAGACCACTCTCTAAGCTCTAACAGTGGGCTAATGGTTTAACATTAGCTAGTCATTATTTATAAGTCATATATTGTTTATGCCACTTAAATTGATGCATAGATCATGCATCTCCATTTCTAACTAAGGAAAAAGGTATTATTATTGAAAATATAAAGACAGCCATATAATAATACTGCCACTCACAGTAATAATTACAGCGAATGGTAAATCAACTGTCAACTAGGTGAAAAATGATAGGTATCAACTATCATTAAATATATGGTAAAACAAGTGTGTCATTCCTTAACATATCGAAATAATGATCACGATACGACGACTTATATGACAGTGAGTTACATAAATTGAGCAATAATAATCTTTATTACTGATGATATTATAGTTTAAAATTGTATACCTATTATATTTTTTATTGTCACAGGTTCGGAAGATCGTATCCCCCAGAGATCACAGCAGCTGATATCCGAGAAGGTCTCCAGCGTCCGGCTCGCCGAGGTAACAGCTTCCTTCGCTTCGGCAGATCCCAACCCATGTCCTTGAGCACTGATGACCTCGTATCTCTCCTAAAAACTTATGAAGACGATTACGACAATGCCAAAAGATCAGCTAGCTTCATCAGACTCGGACGTAACCCCAGCTTCATAAGGCTCGGCAGATCACCCGACGAAGAGAAGAGTGGTTATGAACAAAGTTCGGAACTCGTTGTCAGTGGATACCCTCAAAGGAAATCGAGAGCACGCGACCATTTTATCAGACTCGGTAGAGACAGTGAAGAATTAAATGACCGTAATGAGTATGAGGAAGACGTTAATGAAAGAACGAAGAGGTCCGCCGAAGTGTGTGATGATTGTCAAGCGTAACTTGTGATTCCCAAACTATATATTGATGATAATTTCTTCTGTTTAACATAATTCTTTCATATAAAGGCATTGTGTTCGATAGGAGATATCAGTTCTTAAGATACGACCCCTTCATCCTGTTAATATTGTTCATGAAATATTTGCATTTACAAGGAACACAATAATAAAATACAAATCATTGATTTGTTTATTTTTAAACAAAAAATATATATAATTTCATTACAACTAAATGTATAATTTTAAATTGTTACTCATTCTGTAACATAAAGAATAATAATTACAAAAAATATGCATTAAAATACGAATAATTTTTACTTATAATTTGTTAAACTTAATTGTTTAGAAGTTTGTTTAAATTGTTTTATAATGTCACATAATAATTGTTGAATTAAATTGTTTACATCAATAAATCATATCGATATTACCATGCTTGATTATAATAATTGTTTATAATACATTGAATTATTGATTATTTTAATTTAATTTAAATTCCCACGTAACTAAGTACTAATATTTTAAATGATAATTCTAATGTTTATTTTTTGTTCATTACTATTATGTCCCTTGTAATGTTAATTCAACTTTTAACATTTCTATCGTTTTAACGAAACGTCTAACGATCTTCTAATGAGGCTAAGTACGTGGTGCAATGATGTATATGAATTTTAAATTAATACGTACAACAAAATATATTTACTTTACAATAACAAAATAGTGATATAATTCTAGAAAAAAAAAATGTTTTAACATAGAGTATATTATTATATATTTTAATTTAATATTCTATATCGCATTATTAAAGAAGTAAAGCGAGATACGCTTATGTTATATTTGAAATTATATTAATTATAATTACAGGTATTATTATTTTATGTCTCTGTATAGTCGGCATCTGTATTAATTTAGTTTATATTGAAGTATTTACCTACATAATTGATGGTTTGTGTACATACTGTTTCTCATTAGATTGATAATTGTGAATAAAATTGAATATTCATATTTAATGTTAATCCATTAACCCCAGTCTTACTTATAAACATTGAATAAATGTATTTATTCCTTAATATGTTTGTAGATTTTATTCTTTATTGCTTAAGGATGAAATTAGTAATTTATTAATGAGTACTGCAATTTTTATAAGTAAGAATAGGGCTGGTGTCACCGCCTGAATTACAAACACCGGTCGAAAAGTTAAAATAATGAGTTTTGTTACAAAAACCGGTTCTTTTTTCTAAGAAAATTAAGAATTACATCAGGAAAAAAAATACCTTCTTATTTTCCACTCCACTTGGGTTTTCTTCGCACAAATATTTTAAAAACCGCTGGCCAAACTAGAACAAGGAAATTGGGATGGATGGCAGCCCTATGTAAAGGGGTGAATGGGGTAAATGTTTTTAATTTTCTTTTACACACTGATACCGTAAATGATTAATCGGTTTCTAAATCTATAATCGTTAACTTTTTGATTCTAAACTGCCTCAGTTTTATATTATGACACGTAATTTAAATAAATTATGGCGGACTGAAAAATTTTATTCATTTTATTATAATGAAAAATCTATTATAAATATTACAGAGTTTATATCATTATAATATCATATGATTTTTTGCCGCATAATTATATTTCTGTTATGCCATAGAAAAGAATGCAATATAGCATTAAGTCTGCCTTTTGTGATGGATATTTTTTGTGATGTGGTCAATAAACAATAAATAAGTAAAATATATTTTTTTTTTAAATACTGAATATTCTAAATATCTAGATAGATATTAATTTATAATTTGACAGCAATTATAAACTTGATAACAATTTACTGATCTCAAATTGTCACAGAAATATTATTAAAATTATATTTTTCTTTATTTAAGTATACAGTACTTAAGATTAATACCTAAATATATTGTATATTTTTCAACTTAACTGAATTTAGTATTTTAATGCATTTACCATTACAATTAATACTCAGCTTAATATAATAATATGCATGATAGAAATAATAGAATATGCATTGACAAGCATAAACTGCTTGTTTATCTATTTACGCCTATATATCGATTCTGTTACAAGAGTCATCGTTATTTCATAATTGGTGAAATATGGATTATGACTTAAGGTTATACTTATATTTTTACATATATTTTCCACCTTTTTCTCAGATGTATTTTTTTAATGTTTGTAAATACATAATTCCGTCAATTCTAAAAGAATTGGGGAAATTCTTTTTGTATCTAAGAGAATATCTTTACAGATTAGTGTCATTGAAATTTCATCAAAACCGGTATAGGACATTATATCTAATTAATTAAAAAAAAGACAGAGTCCATTGCAACGGGAAACCAACGAAGAAAAAAGAAATAAAAGAAACAGTGTCCATTGCAACGGGGCCACCTGTCCCCGCAACTAAGAATGCTCTCCTCCACTATTATATTTAGCTGTGATCACAAAGTTAACGATTTTAGCATTAGAAACGCCATTATGTCTTAAGGCTGTTACTTGTTTGTTTTTACTAGCACACACGTAAGAAAGAACAAGACACAAGACACTGTTGTCTCGTTCTATCTCGCGATATCTATGGATATTATCTTATCTATGGGGTCTTAAATGAAAACATGTGGTAATTTAATTTCAAATTCACACCCAATTAAAATAAAAGTGTTTGAAACAACTGTAAGGCTGGGTATTATGGTTGTTTCGACAACTACGACCACTTTGACTCATGATTTGTCTTAGTGTTAAATTCATTGTGTAGGTAAAGTATTAAACGAATCGATGGTGACAAAATATAGTTATATAATGTATTTACGTTGTTGCAATACTAAATAAAAGGCATTATTGTGTATCTATATTAAATGACATAGTTATTACATGATTCTTTTTATTTATTATTTGAAAATAAATAAGAATTACGTTTATTTGTATTTTGTTTAATGTTCAACCTTTCCTATTATTTGCAAACACAGTCGTTGTAAGAATTGGTGAAGTCTATGGTACTATAGTATGTCTGTATACAATAGTTAGTTTTATTAGATAAACTGTCAAATTCATTTGTTATGCAACTTAGAATGGCAAACAAGCTGACGACCCACCTGGTGGAGAGTGGTAACCGTCGCCTATAGAAATGAGCAGTACCGAGGACATAACAGAGTATACTGTTTCACATGATAATCCCATTTTTGTATTATCCGTCTGTACCCTTTAAATTCACTTCATCTAATAGAAGTCAAAAAACATTAAAAAATCAACGCCATTATTTATTTCGAATGACCTATATAAATTATTATCAGTAAATTTATCAAACAAAAAAAAAACAAAATAATCAAAAATGTTTCACAATCTCACAAATCACTTGATCCTAAAATATCCTGTGTTGTGAAAAATCAGTCAAAGAACGTGTTCTGATTCATAGACAAGTCAAGCTAATTCCCTGAATGTCCCGAAACAATTGATTGATTGAAAATAAACAAAGTTGACTGGGAGAAATCCCTTTTATGGGATAAATACATCAGCGCACTCGATATTTTCTTAAGAACTCTGTATCCTATAGGTAAATTAAGACTTTACTATATAATAAAGTGTTATAAACAAACATTTTAAAAAAACTGTTTTCATAAGTAGCTCCGATCGAGAATCGAATCCGGGAGTTAATATAAAGTAATAGTATTAAGTACTACGTTACAAGGTATCATCATAGCAAGACAATTTTACATAGTTTATTTCTTTAACACGGGGAAAAACATGCATTTAATATTGACAAACGAACATGCGGCTCACCTGATGGTAAGTAACTAGCGCCGCCTATAATAACCAGTACCAGAATACCAGAGGCATGACATGTGTGCTGCCGGCCTTTTAAAAAGAAATATGTTCTTTTTTTAATGTAGATAGAATTAAAACATGCTGAATGACCAAAATACACCGCACTTTAGTCAGTCAGCGTACACAAGAAAAAGTGTCTTCAAATCTTTGGTCAAATATCGATATTGATAGATATCATAAAAAATATAACTGCTTCATAATGCAAATTTTTAAAATTTTACGATCTACTTCCATAGATTTCATATAAATGTTTTTTTTTTTTCTTTGAATTGACGTAAGCTTGGATACCTCACATTAAAATATTTGAATTTAGAACACAGACACGCATATTTAGAAGATTTTATTTCGCAGATCGTACTGTTCGACCCCCTCGGCGAGGTTATTAACTTGTATGTGTATTTTTAACTTCATTAGTAAATTTTTCCATGCTAATGACACATCTGAGCATTTTTATAAGGATATTAAATTTCCGGTTGGAACGGTATTTAGTAATTCCCTTTTTTTTTTATTAAATTTAAAATCGAACAGTCGCCTGCGCTGTCGGTATACGCTAGCAGAGTACTAATGAGATATGATAGATGAATTCGTCAGAAATTGTTCACGATGGTTTCCAGGGGCGATTGCATAGAAGTCAACCAGACAGTGTATACTGCTAACAATGAGACCACAGGTCTACACAACTTACAATATTTTCCTCCAATAATTCCATATTAGGCTTGTTTGCCATTTTTTTAAGTCACTTGCAAAAGAAAGTGATTCTTAATATTTAAAAAAATAAGACATTTACATTTAACTAGCTTTTACCTACGACTTCATCCGCACGACAGAAAAATATTCACTGACTGGGACAAAAGTAATTTATGCTCTTCTCCATTCCATACAGTACTGAGAGGTATTTGCAAAAAAAAACTAATATGTGGGATCTTCTTTACCGGAAAGTCGATTACTTGGGTACCTCTGTCTCATTCGTGTTTCGACTGTAAAGCAGTTGTGTTTGCATGGTTGTGTTTCGGTTTAAAGGGTGGGATATGACAGTGAATTTACAGGGTACAGAGGAATAACACCTGAGTCCTCAGGAATGCCAACGCATGGGAGGTATCATGGGCGAAACAGTATACTCTGTTATGTCCATGGTACTGCTCATGTCTATAAGCGACGGTTTCCACTTTCCATCAGGTGGGCCGTCAACTTGTTTGCCATTCTAAGTTGTATAAAAAAAATACAATATTTCATGGTGATTGTTTAAACCGTCTTCACTTTCACATTTATAATTTTAGTAAGGATGAAATAGTAGAATATAATAATTAGGGGGGAAAGAGAGTAATGGAGACTGAGAATCCTATTGCTAGCAATATACCCAACCAGGTCGACCTCCTCGTGGTACCCCTGGAAACTATCATGGTTAACTCCTGACGAATTCATCATGATGGGCTAACTGGCCTGTTTTCTTTCTCATCTATCACCCTTCACTGGTGCTCCGCCAGCGTATCCCGTTAGTGCAGGTGGAGTTACCATACCATTTTCACCCATCAAAAAAAAAAAAATATAATAATTAGTAAGTAGGCGCATTAATAGTAATCCTTCGCACGAATTATGAGTAAACATTAATAGATATTAGTATCCCGTGACGACAATTTTACAGCGAGCCGAGATGTAATTTACGCTTAATTACTCAGTTTTTCGCTTAATTGGCCGTTTTGCTCGCTGTGATCATCCGACACTGCACTTACAAGGGTAATGACAAAAGGATACATAAATATTTATACACAAGAAAAAGACAGAAGTGGAAATTCTGAGTGAGTTCTTAAAGATAGTGGTTTTTAAGTCCGTATTTCTTTTATTTTTGTGATAGTGCTAATTCATATCCGCCACTTTAGCCGCATGACCAGGATGGAAATAAAAACAGCCTACATTCTTCTCCATCTCATATCATCATCTTCCTACCCTTATCCCAATTATTATTTGGGGTCAGCGTAATATGGTATTATCCATATTACTTAAGGATTTGGCTTACAGTTAAACGACCGGCCTCCTGCCTGACGTCAACCCAATTTGGGAGGGGAGAAAAGGGATTGTTAGTAGTGGAGACTGAGAATCTCATTGCTAGCAATATACCCAACTAGGTCGACCTCCTCGCGGTTCTCCCTAGAAAATATCATGGTTAATTTCTAATGAATTCATCATGATAGGCTAACTGGCCTGTTTTTATTCTCATCTATCAGCCTTCACTGGTATCTTCACAGCGTATCCCGTTAGCGCAGGCGGGGTTACCATACCATTTTCACACATCAAAAAAACCAATTTGGGAAAGCATTTGTTGGTGGTTTCCGCCACCTACGGTTAGGAGGAAAGGATTAAGAAAAAAAGGAAGGGAACGTTAGAAATGCGTGAAGTAAATTAGTAAATGAGAGGAATAAGGGATTTATGTGGGACCCTGCAGTTGCGGACAAGTCTGGGACACTGCAGCGGCTCGGGAGGCCGGGGTCGCATACCCGTATGCCCTTATTCTAGAATTGGACAGATTTCTAGAGAAGAACACCCCTGACTTCTCCATCTCATATAATACGTATATATCAAATTTCATAAGGATTGGTTAGGACTTAACCACGGCTTAATAGTTAATTCAATAAGGCACTAAGAAGGCAAACAAATTCACTTTCACAATTATAATATTTATAAGTCTGATAAGTAAGCTGACTGCGTTACCGTTTCTAAGAACTATGGTGTTATGAGAACTATACCGTGTAAGTCCCGTCACCCCTTCTTTTCCCGTGGTATAGGGGAAGCTATGTCCAACCGTGGACAGTCAACGGCTGATACAATGGTGTTAGTCCTCTAAGCTCTACTCTTTTATACTTACTTAGTACAACCACTATTTCTATATGGTACTATAACCCCCCAAGAAGGAGGCTGTTGAGGAGTGGGTCAGATAAGATTTAAAAAAAAAAAAATTAACACAAGTCTTTAATCGAAACAAATTTCTTTCACAGATAGGAAATATATTATAAGGTTGTAGAAATAGTACAACGTCTTGTCCGTTTGAGGTTCAAATCCGGTCTGTCTTTTCCAGCGTATCTCGTCAGCGCAGGCGGGGTTACCATACCATTTTCACCCATAAAAATCCGGTCTGTCTTAAATAATAATAAAAAATTCCTAGAAATCGATGGCATGACGTATATACTATTGTTAATTGTTGACTGTCTCGAAAATGCAATGCACTTTCGCATTCATATGTTGTACTAAGTTACAGCTATGTAACAAGGCTTATGTACAGCAGGGGACAGTAAACGGCTGAAATGACAATGATGATGATCGAACTCTTCAAACCAGAACACAGTCATCCAAACAGCTGCAGTATCAAAGTAGAAATACGGATAGGACATGGATAACCCAACCATCTGGACGAGTGGCGGTCCTCCACCATGCGTTTTTCAAGGCACTTTCTTCCACGCACAACCACTCTTTGGAATCAACTTCCAGCAGCAGTATTTCCGAATCGATACGACAATATAACCTTCAAGAAAAGAGCATATTCCTTTTTAAAAGGCCGGCAGCACACCTGCAATGCCGTTAGTGTTGTGGGTGATCATGGGCGGCGGTAGTCACTTACCACCAAGTGAGCCGCATGCTCGTTTGCCCCCTGTGTTGTAAAAAAAAAAAATACTCAAGTAGACGAGTTTTATACAAAATCACCTTCTGGTTAGCAACTAAAAGGCAACCAAATAAATGAAGTAAAGCACGTTACCGTAAATTCTACTCCTCAGTGTAATGGTTGCGAACGTTCAATGACTTCAGCGGCACCGTACCTATTCCATTACAAGAAATATTTAAAGATAATTCTTTCGTGACTCTAAATGTGTTTTACGTGGCCTTAAGAGATTTCAATTAAAATTCCAGTAATAAATTTCGAACTAGCGAGTAACATCATAGTGTAATAATTACCCTTCAGTGGATAGATACAAAACTCGGTATTTAATTATTCATATTTGGTTCCCTAGAATTAAAATGCCATAGAAACTTTTAAACAAATGATTTTAAATCAATATATAGTAATTTTAATCGAATATTCTCTCTCGTATAGTAACTATCGTTTTAA